TCTGGCTTGGAATCAGCGCAATGGGAATATGCTTAGCTTGAAATAAACATGTGCATGTTAAGTAGAGGTGAATAGAATAGATACTTTTCATTTTTAAGCAAAAGGGAAGAAATGTATTGGAGCCCATACAGGAAACCCTACAGGGTCCCAGCATCCCCTACTGTGTAGGCATGACCAAGCAAAGGGTCACACCATTCACTGTGGCCCCATGGCCCAGAGGGACTCTCCTTGAGCTGTGCCCCAAAGCCCCAAGACTGGCTGGGGGTGGGGCAGCTAGATACTTTTAAAAATCATTTATTTACAAATAATTTTCATCTTTCTATTCTTAATATTCCTACTTCCCTGTAAAGTTTGAGTTTTATAATTCAGGAAATATAGTGAATTTTCGGCCAAAATGAATAAAATGAATTTAAAAGACCAGTATTCCAATGAAGAATTTTGTGGAATTGATAGCAAAAATTAGCACGAGTTTCTCTTACATGATTAAGATAAAGAAATGGACTTCTAACCAAACTTCAAGCTTTTTATGTAACCTTGTAAATATAATGTGTACACCGGAAGGGACATATGTATATATGGGAGTAAGTATATGTATATACATATAGATTATGTAGATACACACAGAATGGACACATGTATACCGAATACACGTGCACACATAGAGGACAGTCCGGTGGTGATGCTTTCCTTTTTATATCAATGATGGGCTCATCCACAAGTCCCTGCACATGATCCTGTATGCCTATTCCCGATTATACTTAGCTACCCTAAAGCAAGTGATGAATGGTCAATTTCTATACTGTATTTTCCTTTTGACAATGGAGAGAATGACAACTAATACAAACACTTATTGATACTTCTCATTTCTTATTTGTTAAAATACATAATAGTGACTAAGATAAAGAAATGATTTATTTTTGAACACTACATTAAAAAGGCCATTTCAAATGCCACCTATGCCTCAAAGCAATCATATAAAATGTAGATAATGCTCACAATACAAATTTTATATTAGAAAAAATATATAAAACTAATTTTAATTTTTGATGGAAAATGTGTATTTCAAATTTTAATTATCATGATTCAATCAATAAAATCGTTTTGTAAGCAAAGCAAATATTTATTATTTAAGAAACACTATCCTCTGAAATGCGGAATGTGAGTGTAATGCCACAGAATTTTCCACAGGCCTTTTGAAGGCCGTTTTCCTGGAAGGAAGCCTCTGCATAATGCATATCGTGTGGCTCCGATCGTACTGATTAACCATGGCCTACTCACTTTATCCAGCTCATCTTCAATACGACAGGAATTGAGATGAAGAGCAGGAAACTCTTCCTCTTTGACTTTTTCGATGATGTCATAAACTAAATGATAGCCCTCCACAGTAACAGCTGAAAGGTTGATATGGTGAGGAATTATGTCCTGGCTGATGTTGCCCATCTTCAATAGTTTTGAGATCATCTCTGAGTTCCTGGAAAAGAGAACACAGGAATGAACACCTTGGGTGATCTGGGGTTTGTTTTCTGCACAATGATGCTGTCAAAGTTAAAGGAAATGAACAGCCGTACTCGGCCACGCATTTCTCATTTATGACGTTGGCTTTGAAGCCCAGCACTGCAAACACCACCAGGGTTGCCAGGACAGACGTGAAAAAGTTGATGAAGGACACCAAGACGGCGTCGAAGTGGCAGTTGTTGTCTCTCTTGTTGTAGCTGGAGAAGGCAATGACGCCGCCGAACCCCAGCCCTAACGCGAAGAACACCTGCGTGGCCGCTTCTCTCCAGACTTTGGGCTCCAGCATGATTTCAAGCTGTTTAAAATTAAACGTAGTAAAAGTCAGCTGCAAAATATTTCAAAATAATTCATCTACATGGAGCTAGTTCTTTAAATTTATTACACTGATACGTATGCAACCAAAGGTCATTTACATTAAGGGTGGTAATTGGTTCTTAAACAGTAGTAACTCATTTTTCATTTAGAGAAAACCAGGACATGCATATTATCTACTTATATGGAAATTTTTTTTAATGTCTCAAAGGATTACATGAAAGAGGAAAGCTACTGTCTTCAATTGCTCCTCCACCTAAACTTTCATTTTTTCCCCCAAAGCAAAATCAAGCAATTAACACAGCAACGTAAGTAAAGCGATTAACATAGAAAGTCAAATAATCACTTAACTAACACTCTAAGTTTTGTATTTTCTAGAGGAAATCTAGTAATGAAAGAGATAACTATATATTTGGCACTGAAGAGCTATTTGTATTTTGCATATTCACCTATGTATTATTCATTTATTCAAAGCTTTCCTGAAAGCCTTTATTTTGAAAATTGAAGAAATTCAGCTATATCATCTCTAAGACTTGCTTTCAGATCCATAATTCTAATGTTTTGAACTGTGACTAACATGGATTTTCAAATAATGTTGCCTTACTTTTTAGATAACTATCACTGTATAGGATCAGACCTTTTAAATGGAGCAGTTAGCACGGCCCGCACCTGGCATCGCGCCACTGTCGTAGAGTTGACTTTGTCTCACAGTGACGCTTTAGGGCACCTGCTCTATGTCCAATAAAGGTTTGTTTGAATTAATTCAAAAACGAATGCACTGCTATCAAGTCGACGCCGCTCATAGCGAACCCCTGTGGGTTCCAAGACTTTAAGTGTTTGTGGGAGTAGAAAGTCTTTCTTCTGCAGAGTGGCTACAGGTTTCGAACTGCTGACCTTGAGGATTAAAGCCCAATGCATGATCACTGCTGTGTATGTGCCTTTATTGGGAGCAATAATAAAGCAGTTAGGAATAAGCTCCAGTTTCAGAAGATCCTGATTCTGCCATTTAATAATTTGATAGTCAAACCAAATGCAAGTGGTCTGTCCTCTCAGTTTCACTTTCTTCCGATGAAACATGGGAGAAATAGCCTGTCATGGTGCCTGCCACCGTGTAAGCACTCAGTGATGCTAACATATGGGACAACAGTGGTAGATACACTGATAAACCCTTTCCATGAGTTATTTTACTCAATCTTTATAACAACCTATGAGGTTACTATGATTATTATCTGAATCTTAGAAATGTTGAATGACCTCCCTTAGGTCCTATAGAAAAGCTGGGGTGGGGATGAGATTTGAAGATAAGTAGATTCCAAAATAAATAATTTACCAAAATTAGGGTTCAATGACTCCATTTTAGTAATTATTTTAGAAATGTATAAAATATTCCAAAATATATAACCTTGCCTCTCTTTCTTAATACATGACAATTACCTAAGATATCCACATTGTTCATTGAACATTGTTACATTACTATTTTAAGTTAATACTGGCCTGCTAAAAATGAGGCTTTCCACTTCCATAAAAATTTAGAATCCCACAGGGACAATTCTACTTGGTCCTACAGAGTCGCAGTGGTGGCGGAATGGCAGTAGAGCTGCAAACATACGCGACTGCATACCGTGACTTTATCCACTAGATGGCAGGAAGGGCCAGTTTACTAAAGAGTTTCAGTCAAGTTTCCAAATTCGGAACTTATTTTCCTTTCACTTTTCCACTAGTACAGTGCTCTGGTGACATAATGGGTTAAGATCGGAATGTTAACTGCAAGGTTTATAGTTCAGATCCACTAACCACTCCACAGGAGAAAGATGAGGCTGTTGCTGTCACAAAAATTTACAGTGTCCGAAACCCTGAGAAGCAGTTCCTATAGGGTGGAATCAAGAGCAGGGGGTTTGTTTTGTTTTATTTTGTTTTTCCTTGTATTTTGTGTTATGTTTCATTCCCTATGTTTCATTAGTAAGCTTTTACTAATAATGTAAATTAAATAATATCATGTTTCATCAAGTCAAAGAAACGCGAGCTAAAGGGAAAAATAACATTATCTTAATAGTGATTCCTAGTCCTGTTTTAAAATGTTTTGTAATTTGTTGTAGTTTTAAATACAGGACCCATGTAAATATTGAAGAGTTTAAATTTTGAGAAAATCTAATGAAATAAAATATTTAGAATGATGCCACAAATGACTGACAAGTTAGAACAAGATGATATTCTAGATATTCTCATAGAAATTAGGTATTTTTAATGTGGCAAAGATTTTTTTCAGTATTATAAATGTAAAGACATGTTAGTCCATAGATATGGCCCATTTGAAGCCAATTTTACTAGTAAAATAGCTCAAATGTCTATTTCTTCTCCAGTCAGACACTGAGGAGAAGTTCAACAACTTTAAAGGTGGAACAAGACAAAGAACACTGCTTCCTTCACACAGTGTGAAGGCAGCCACCGAGGATGAAGACTGTCAAGGAAATTGAGTTAGTTAATTGTGCCAGCCTGGCCGATAATCACATGTGGGGCTAATTGAAAGGCAGAGGGATAAATGGGTGGTGAAGCCTCGCCTTTCTAGTTCTCGGGTCTCTTGCTTTGTGATGGTCGCACCGGGTGCAGCTGCCTTAGCAGTTCCCTGCTTCAGCTTGCAAGATGGATTTCCTACAAGACATCCCCAAGGAGAAGCCACATGGACCTATCCCGATGCAGCCCTGGGTGCTGGAGCAGCCTGTGGAGACCCCTGCTAGTGCTGAGATGCTTGTTCGTTCACTGACTCAGCTTTCCTCCTGCAGTCGGCATCATTGCCTCTGTTTTGTGAGGTGGAGGACTTTGTGGACTGGTGTTGGGTTAATGGGTTAATGTTGGACTTGTGGGCTTGGGCAGCATAGGGTTGGGATGTTTTCGTGATGCACATTTTCTTTACATAAAACTCTCTTATTCGTGAGTTGTTGTGGATTTGTTTCTCCAAAGTACCCAGACTAATACAGAAATGAATCCCTGTCCCTGCCCATCCTTCGGAAGAATATCAATTTGTTAACCAATTCTGAAGTTGTTTCTCTACAACTCAGTTGTGTCTATGATACAATGATGAAATCAGAAGTGAGGTACAATACCAAGTCACATCACTATAGCAAGTCCACAAGTATTAATTAATCAGGGTCAATGTGCCACCACTGCATTCAATGTGAGGAAATTGAATGACCGTTTGAAAGTCCTGGGTCCTTTTTGAAGCCTAATGAACATTTTCCTAAAATGTGTAATCATTTATAAAAGCTAAAGGCCCCGGGCGCTTAAGTGGAGAGCAAATGTTTTGAGAACGATGAGGGCAATGAATGTACAAATGTGCTGTACACGATTGATGTACGTATGGATTGTGATAAGAGTTGTATGAACCCCTAATAAAATGATTTTTTTTAAAAAAGCTAAGGGCCTTTTCAAAATGACAACTATACATACCATTCTAGAAAATGTAAAAATCTCAAAGTAAATCAACACTAAGGAAGCCTGAACTTCCTCTCGGGTAGCGTTATGGAATACAGAAGAGCTTTTCATCGGAAGGCTACAGGTTGAGCCGGAAGCCACTTGCCGGCAGTGGGTTTCTCAACCTGCTGACACTCTAGCAAGAAATACGTTCTTTTAGTTTTAGCCTGATGATTACTTTCCTGATATGATTGATAGTGATTATCTGTTTCTCAAAGAGGTACGTGACAAAAATCAGTTAAGATTCATGGATTTAGAGAAGAATAAATGAAGCTTTCAAAGTTCTAAAATCATCCCTAAAGTTAATTATAAAAAAAGAGATTTTTAAAGTTTCAATACCCACACTCTTACTCTATAACAAAAGCAGGGCATTTAAAGTTAAATTTAAAGATGGATATACACCTTTAAGAGCTGATTTTTCTACAAGATAACCATTTAAGTCTAATTTATACATGCTATAGCAATTATCCCCTAAATTTGACTGTGTAAACTTTCAATGATAAGCACAATATTTTCATGATCATAACAGTTAAGTAAAATTGTACTACATACCTTAGGGGTAAACATGTGGCGGATGCCATCAGTTGAACCATTTAAAAGGAGTGCTCTGATTAGGAAGCATAAAAGTACCACATATGGGAAGAGAGAACTAAAATACATGATCTGAAAAGAAAAAAAGTATATTTTTTACATATATTTTACACATACATATGTTAGTCACACTAATATTTATATTTCTTTTCTGTAATCAAATAAAATTATATGCATCCTATACTTTCAAGGTTACTATTTTTCTCTATAATGTTATTACCCTGTTTCCCCGAAAATAAGACAGTGTCTTATATTAATTTTTCCTCCCAAAGATGCTCTAGGTCTTATTTTCAGGGATGTCTTATTTTTCCAAGAAGAAGAATATAGTACACATTTACTGTTTATTGTTTTACTAAGAGACCTCGCACTTCCTATCTGCTCCGGCTGCGCTGCGGACAACAGTGAGCTGCGTGGTGGCACCCACCGCTACGATCCAGAGTTACGGCTGCTTCAGGGGGGCTTATTTTCGGGGGGATGCCTTATATTTCAGTGAGAGGCAAAACTATAAGTAGGTCTTATTTTCGGGGGATGTCTTACTTTCGGGGAAACAGGGTAATATATTAGACCATTGATGGAGTTGTCAGGTAAGCATTAGACTGCTGTACGCAAAGCCAGCAGTTCAAACCCACTAACCACCTTGCAGGAAAAAGATGAAACTATCCGCTCTGGTGGGATTTACAGTCTGGGAAACCCTATGTAGAGTCCCTGAGTCAGAATCTGCACTACGGCAGTGGGTTTGGGTTTTGTCCGTGCCTCCGAGCCAGAGCAAAGGGTGTCCTCTGTGATACACTACCACCCTTCAGCTCCACATGGCTCACTCCTCCTGGTACTTAAGTCTTTGCAACATCTTCTCCCCAAGATCTTCTCTAACGCTCAAACCAACGGTATGACTTTTATACACCTGACCTCCCTGCAGTCCATATTAATCCTTCATAATGGATCCTTGCTTTGTTTTCTTTATGGTGCTTCCACAATTGCTGACAAGAGGACTCGTGGTGACTATAAATATCAGAATGTGTGCACCATTCGTTAACTTTTTATTGTGCGATTGGTGAAGGGTTACTAAACAGAGTGGTCGTGTGTCCAGCAACTCATAGTCCTTTTAGCTCGATTCACCACTGCAACCCGCTCAATGCACCATCATTTACCCCACAGCCTCCCTCCGCTTGCTGCTTCCACTCCTCCTTTTCCCCAACTCCCTAAAGTTTGTCCCTGGGTATAGGCTGCCTTTAAATAGTTGATTATTCGAGCATGCTGAAATGATTCTATCAGTATTTTCTTATTTATTTTCTTATTCTCTTCTGAAATATAAGCTGTGTGAGGGCAAGAGCTCTTCTTCTCTTGCCATTGCTCTATTCCGAACAGCACAGTGGCTGATGTGCAGTGCGTGTCAGCCAGGAGTTTGTGGAGGAAACAGAAGGCCGAAGGAAGGAGGCAAGAACCACTGCCATCAGAAAGGATGGTTCCGGCAGGCAGGGATTAACTCCAATAAAAATACAGGCACAGACAATATAATGCATACAGCAATACAGTCATTTTGATTTCCTCTATTCCTACTTGATTTATAGCCATATTTAAATATACGTGGGAAATCCTAAGAAAAAATCATTATTGTGGATAAAATACCAATGTACTCAACATTCACTATTTAAGAAAATGATATTTTGATACGATTTTGATATTATAAGGCTCAATTTTTTATTTTAAACTATTTAAAATTTTCCATTACCTTGATTACATCCCTTGACCCATATTTCTAAATTTCATTTTATCAGAACTCTTTTAAATGGAACCCTATTTTAAAAACTTCCTCCTGCCTTTTAACATTCTTTAAATTTTTTAGTTTATAACATATCTATCCAAATGACCTGGATCTTTCTAGAGTCAAAGCTGTACCTCACATGATTCCTCTCACGGTTTACTGAGGCTCTCCAGGACATGAATTAAGTTTTTCCTAAGAGCTAACCTTTTCTTTTTAATATAACTCGTTTGTTATTTCCTAAGTGACTTAAATGATGTCCAAGAATGCTACTTGTTTAAAAATAAAAATGCAGCCTACACACAAATTAGTCTGGATAAGTTGATCATGACTTTTCCCTAATAAATATGGCATATGAACAGTGTATGTATGTCATTATGTAATTTCAAACTAAAGACTATTGAAAGAAAAAAATCCTATGTATAATCTTTTTAAAGCTGGGTAACTTTAACATATCCTTAATAATCACCTTTGCACATGTCCCATAACCAAATGATCACTAAGTCCAATTGATTTTACCACACAAATCCCACATCTACTCTTCACTGCTATTTTCAATGACATTCCCTATTGGAACAGCTTCCGGGTCATCCTGCATTCAGATTCTCCAAGCCAGCTTCCCTCTTCTCTTTGAAATCTAACATCTACACTACCCCAAGAGTGATTTTTCTAAACTAAAGATCTAATAGTATCCCTGAGCTGCTAAGCATTTGCAAATGGTCTCAGCCATTTATAAGACAATTTTAGCAATGCCCATAAAATATTTTAATATCCACAGTAAATGGACAGAATCCAGCCTCCCCCATAAATTTCACGAACTATAAAGGAGGAACATAGAAGTGCTCAGGAACCCGCGTTTTGCATATGTATTTTATCTGCATATAATTTCCTTTCTCAGAACTAGCTGGTCCACTCCTCTTAAGCAGCAAACCCTCACTCCAATACTCTTTCGTGAAGCCCTCCAGAGAAACGCAGGCTAATTTCAATCTGCCGCTAGACTCTCAAGCCCTTTCCATTTGCCTCGATAACCAAAATTATTATGCTGTAATGTCTCTCTTATCTATGAAATTACAGGTTCCTTGAGGACAAAGACTGTGCATATCTAAAAATATTTTAGATATGCACTAAAAATATTTTACATAAATAATTTGCATAAAGCTAAGTTTCCTCTATATTGATATCCTTTTAAAAAACTTACCTTTATTCTGCAGTATATTTTAAATTGTAGACTAATTACAGGATTGGGCTTATTTCAATTTTATTTATTAATTTAACAGATATGTAGGTTCTTAATGATTACTAGACACTGAAGCTGGACTCAGGGATGACACTGCGACATAGCTTTGCTAAGGAGAGGAAATGTTCAATCGTACAACATGATGATCTAAAGATCAAGATACGCACTCAGCTGTTAACCACAAGCCTAAGGGTTCAAAGTCAACAGCTACTCCTTGGGAGAAAGAATCTGGTATTCTGCTCCCACGCAGATTAAAGCATAGGAAAGCCTATCAGGAACGTCTACCCTGATTTAGAAGCTTGCTGTACATCAGAGTCAGCCTGTGGGCACATGACAAATCATACTAACTATCCCCACTCCAAGTTTCTTCTGCAGCTGTAGGAAGATTCCGATGTTCATTTTATGTTTTCAAATATAAATTATTTACACTTAATGTTATGCCCCTCTTATTTTATAAGAAAATAATACCTTGCTTACACTATTAAAAAAAGTTTATTTCTTAACAGATTGTCACACAAAATAAAGAACATGCTCCTTTAAAAAATTCATCCACCCGAGACCAAACAACAACTGCTTTAAAACAACGAGGAGAAGGTCAAGGATCAGGGAAACTAGACTCGAGGAAACAGAGCAACCAGAGCAGCATTAATGAGATTGTTCACATGTTGGTAAGAATATAGACAAGGTCACTGAACAATCTATGTAGAAATTGTTTAATGGGCAACAAAACAGCTGTATGAAACTTCACCAACACACTCAATAATATTCTAAAAAATAAAAACAAACAAACAAATGCCTCAAAAGGCTGACATCTACTTAACATTCTAGACCAAAATAGCTGCGCTCATCACTACCTCTTTGCCAACCTTTATTTTCCTGTGTTGTCACCTGAAACATTATACCAAATGATGTCTACAGCTTTGAGAAGTGCTCATCTCCTTAAACTGAAATCTTTATGCAACTATTATGCAGCGATTTATTTTGCACAGTAAGTACTAAGGGATGGCATAAAATCAATCAAGTAAATTGTGCGTTCTACACTTTCCTCCAGTTATCATAAGTAGAACTGGTCATAATCAGAAAAATAAACTGCAAGGAAATGTTTTTAAAGCATCAGCAAAAAATAATTCTAAAAAATCTTGATGAAATAAGGAAAAATTATAAAAGATATTGTCTACCATAAGACACATATCTTACTGAATATGTTTCCCTTGCTTTAAATATCTTTTTAAAATAATCACTTTTTACCAATCTGTTTATTTCTTTTTAGTTAACGACTTGGAATGCATCCCTATTTGCAGTTTGCCCGTGGAGATTTGTAGCAGAGGTCTGAGACCCAGAAATAGTGATGGGTGGAGCCTGGAAGGGCTCTCACATACTAACTTTTCCAGAAGACTGAATGCCTTTGATCATAGCCAAGCAAACCATGACCCAGGCCGCCAGTAAGCAGACGGTCATCTTCCAGTTTAAGCCCCCACTCTCAGAGATGGAGCCGGAAATACTCAGTGCTTCTCTGTACCAATAATACGTTGTGGCAGAACTTTTTTCACATTCGGGCTCTACAACTGTGGAAAGAGAAGCAACACAGTATCATTTTAGAATACAAATAAGAAGACCAAAAATCAATTCTGAATGTTTCCTAGAAATGCACCATCTTTTTAAAATAGTACTTAAATTCATGCTGAAGAATAAAAAGCTATGCAAAAATATTTTAAATAATAACAAGAAATCTGAGGATCTTCAAAAAGTTCATAAAACATGTGTATTAAGAAAAAAATACTCGTGGATCTCAACATGGGTTTTGTACCAAAATAAACCTGTACTAATTTGTTATAACTAAACACGATCTAGTTTGAGGCACTAAGAAGAATGAGGCATCCATTTGTAAACAGTCCCTATCACAGCAATATGAATTCTGCTAATATTGAAGTAAGAACAAACAACACATTTTACAGTGAAATGTCAGTGGAAGAATTGTGAAATAAGTGATGCTTACCAACAATATTAGGGACAATAACATCTGCTTATTAAGAGAAGGTCCCAAAGAAATCAGCAGTTTACAAATGGATAACATTCTAACAGGGGATGTGGTGATGCTGAAAATAGAGTTCTCAGCAAAAGATAACCCATATCCATTTGTGAAGAAAAAGTTAATCTTGCCTGTGTTCCAATTAATTGAAGAGTTCTAGTGATTGGCAGTAAAAACAATAGCCAACACCAGACATTTCAAATGGTTAAGCTGACTGAAAAATTAACATTGAGTAAAGTTTGATGGCTGCCAAACCACGATACCTGGATCAGCTGCAGACAAGAGCAGATTTTTCATGGCAATTTTTAAACAAGTGAGATCAAGATCCTGAAGCATTTCTTCAAAGAATTATAACAAGAGATGAAACATGGCTTTCCTAGTATACTGAAGACAAAGCTCAATCAAGGCAATGTCTACCGAAAGACAGAAGTGGACACATCAAGGCAAAATCAAATTGCACATGAATGAGGATTATGGCAACAGTTTGGGGGGGATGCACCAGGCATCTGCTCATTGGCACCCTGGAAGGCCAAAGAATAATAACATTTTATTATTATGAGAAGGTTTTGAGAAAGCTGGGCAGAAAAACTTGTGGGGAAACTTTATCAAATAGTCCTCCTCTGCCCTGGTAGTTCTCTTGTTCATTCTCATCACACGAGGACAACTTTGTGAGAGTTTAAATGGGAAAACTTTAGGCATTCACCTTAGAGTTCTGATTTGGCTTTCTGACTTCATTTCCTAAACTTAGCGTACATACTCGAGTATAAGCCAACCTGAACATCAGCCGAGACACCTAATTTTACTACAAAAACTGCATTTAAAATGTGCTAGAAAACTTGGCTCATACACGAGTATATATAGTAAGACAACTTAAGGAATCCATTTGTCTCCAATTAATCATGTAAGGAAGACTGGATTGACATGGCTACATTCCCAGAATCCTCAGTTATTTCAGTGTAAACTACATGGCTGGTAGCATCACTTACAATTGTTTTGACTTAGATGGAACAAAGTTTTTTACTTTAATCTTTAAATGTGTTTCTAAAAACTCTGTGAAGTCTTTTCTTACATCCTCTTTGATATTTCTTGCCATTACATTACTGAAGAATATTTGTTCTTTTTCTCTAAGTTATTATAACAAAACCAGACTAAGTACTTCTCCCACCTGTACAATTATCTGATGGATCTAGTGCAATGCAATCAAAAGTAGTAGCTGTTTGCCAGTAGCTGCTTTTGGAATGTGGCAAGTTTAGGTGGTTTAAATATAAAATGCACAGCAAAGTGCATAAAAGTGTATAAAAGTGCAATGCAAATCATTTATATTCTATTTAAATGACAATATTCTAGGTATAATAGGTAAAAAGATATTTCATCTGCTTAATTTTCCTTTTATTAAATGTGGCCACTTGAAATATAAAATTACACGTGTGATTTGCATTCCCTTTCTATTACACCAGCAGTTCTCAACCTCTGGGTCACGACCCCTTTGAGAGTCAAATGATCCTTTCACAGGGGTCGCCTATTAGAAAACACATTAGACCATTAGAAAACACATATTTCCAATGGTCTTAGAAACTGAGACACTGCTCCTCTATCCATCTCCAGGTGGGTCCGCCCACATGCAGATATGCCCACATATAAGTACCCGGTGTGATGACATCATAGCACCAACCCCATCACATATACCCCATACAAATACAGATGTATGTGACAGGGTTGGTACTATAATGTATTTATGCAGACCAGTCACACATGTGTAGAGAGTGGCTACTGTGCAGAAAACAGCTGCTGTGTTGAAAGCAGCTGCTCTGTTAAAAGTAGCCACTGTGTTGAAATCAGAAGTACTAGAGGTAAAATGACACTTCACAAATTATAATTACTGGGTAAATGTAAAATCAACTAGAGCAAAAAAAAAAATCTGTACCATGGGAACTTAATCTGGATGCTGATCAGTCTTTTTATATTCAGCTGTGATTATGTTCAATTCATAACAATGAAAATACATCCTGCATATCAGATATTTACATTATGATTCATAACTGTCGCAAAATTACAGTTATGAAGTAGCAACGAAGATAATTTTATGATTCGAGGTCACCAAAACATAAAGAACTGTATTAAAGGGTCACAGCATTAGGGAGGTTGAGAACCACTGTTTTAGACATTGCTACTATAGGACATTGTTTGTTATTTCAACAGATATTAAAATAAATGAGAAAATGATGAGACCACCCCCCAAAAGTAAGTCATTTTTAGATCAATTAATTTTTTTGTCCTTGTGTTTTATTTTAATGATAATATGAGGTATTAAGAGGGCACACAAAATAAGAGTTATAACTCTTGATGGCTTATGATATTTTACACTGATGGCATGGGGCTTAAATGAGGAGTTAATAAAGATGAGTATAAGAATGAAGAAAATGTTCTAAAATTGATTGTAGTGATGATTGTACAACTCTTCTTGATGTTCTTGAACTATGAAATGGTATGATATGTGAATATATGCCAATGAAACTACTTGGATAAAATAACTTGGGAAAAGATAGTAAAATCATATTGTGTCAAATATCTGTCTCTGAGTATGCTAATCCAAAATTGGAGGAGAGTTTCTTACAGTGGCTATTTGGAAAGTATTTTTTTTAACATTATTGTAAAAAAGAACTATTTTGAAAACTTGTGCTTTTACCAATCTGTGAAGCATTTTTCACCAAAGGACACTGATCCCAAGGCAGCGGTTGCTGAAAAGACTGAGAAAAATAAAACAAACTCCAGCCAATGATGACGTTATAGTAGAGAGCCACAAAAAAGCACACCTGCAAAAAAGAAAATAATGTGATTACATTAAAACTGCCATGCTTTCTTTGAAGCAATGAAGCAAAATGCATAAAATACAATCTACCTCATTAGATATCCCATTTGAAACAAAGTAATATCCCATTAAAAAGCTAATTTATCTTACAGGTCTCCAGGCCAAAAATGAAACCAAAATGTTTGCTATTAATTTTGAGTCATCATGAACCGACAGGGCAGAGTAGAACTGACCCATCAGTCACAGTCTTAATTGAAACAGATTGCCACATCGTTCTCTCCCTCTTAGCAGCTGGTAGGTTCAAACTGCTAAACTTTGGGTTAGCGCCATGTGCTTTAACCGTTGTGCTTAACAGGGTTCCTCAGAAACATCAATTAATGAGATTGAGCTATATAAATATCTACAGCTGCTTTAATGTAGTTCCACATTGTACATGTCCAGCACTGTTTTTTAATAGATAATTGAGGATTAGAGTAGAAATATACACTCAAGAAGTTTCAATTTATATGAACACTATAAATCCAAGCCCCCTAAAAATTATTCTATATACAATACCAGGAAACTTACTACACAACTTGCAAATCCAATGCCGCCTAGCTTCGGGCTTATGTAATTCCACACACCAATGCTGCCTCTCCGAATTCTTTGACCCACAGAAAGTTCCAGGAAAAAAAGGGGAATTCCTATTACCAGAAGTAGTATTAAATATGGCAAAAGATATGCACCTACAGAGGCAAGAATAAATAAAGTAGATTAGGTTTTCATTGTTCACAAAAGAGAAACCCCTAACTGTAATTATCTCATGAAAGCTGATACCTAAGCTTTACATACTGTATGTATAGTGAACATTTTAAAAATGCAATTTCATGACTTTAAAAATTGAAAAATGTAACATCAAGATTTGCTGCAGAGTGTTTCAAAAGAAAATGGCTTTAGTTTCATTTTGTTAAACAGGTAAACTGCTTATTTTATATAAAATAATTATTTTCTTAATGAGAATTGACAAATTCCTTGAAATCTTATTCACATAATGTTTAGTAAGTCATTTATTAAATTACGTACCAGCCTAGTGAATTGAGTAAAAACTTACAAAGCAGATTAGTTTTTCATTCAACAAATTATATATATTTTCCTTCATCTAATTGATTGTAATTCCCTCAAAGTAACATCATTTATCTCACTTCTGTTTCCTGTTTCCATCTCTTCTTTCCCAGCCCTTTTGAACATTGTCCTTGGTTAAAAGCAATGGTTGATTGTTCTAAAGTGTGCATGCCTCTTTACTGTTACTGTTCTCCTTCTAGCTTGATTGTTTAACATTTCCCATGGTGGTGAGCTCATTTTCAGACCTGAAGTGTGACTAAAGGTCTTAGTCTCAAGGGTTCCACCAGTCTCTTTCTGACTCATAAGTATGGTCATTTCTCTTATTTTGAGTTTTACACTTTCCTCCCTCATTATACAAAGCCTTCTAATGTGACCACTTCTTTAGCATCTGACAGTTGCACACCATCTAGTTCTTATGGTCTCAAGGTCATAGAGATGTGTGTATACTTCATCAGTCCATTGAACTAGTTTTTCCTATATACCTTCAATTTTCTTCATTCTCCTTTCATCCAGACAAGGAGAAAGGAACACAAAACAAACAAAAAAACAAATACCCTCATGGCTACTGAGTCAATTTTGACTCAGTAATCCTATGGAACAGATTAGAACTGTCCCTGTGGGCTTCTAAGGCGATACATCGATATACAGTGAACCCTCGCCACTTCGCGCTTGGACTTCCGCGGCTTCACTCTATCGTGGTTTTTGCGTAACAGCGCATGCTCTGTCATTACTGCCACTGATTGGCTCATACTGTACACACTTGATGCCATAAATAATATAATAAATAATAAATGATAATTGTAACGTCCAAAATGTTTTACTGTATTTTCCCTTTTTCGTTTAATAAATTGGGTAATACGGGTGTAATGGTGACTAAAGGGTGTTTTTTCATGTCCTCTATGCTCTAACTACGAAAATATTTAATTTACAAATAAGGAATCCTACTTCGCGGAATTTCATTTATCACGGTAGGGTCTAGAACCGATTAACCGCGATAAACGAGGGTTCACTGTATATGGTAGCTGAAAGTCTCATTGTTTCCCAGTAGTCCAAGGCGTAGTCTACTCTGCCACCTGGTTCTAAGGGTTACATCTCGGATGGTTGCTCATTCGCCAAAGTAAAAGGTAAGACGTTACCTTTGTGGACTATATTATGGCCATTGCCTTCGGTATCCCCAAGGCTATGGTCTTAAGCCCTCTGGCCAGGTAAATGAATAGATTATTGAATTCAAATTTTCAATTCACAAATTTTTAACAGTTACGAACTTGACATTTTCAAATGAATAATGAATATGGTTTTGTGCTATTAAAATTGACTTTTTATCCCATAAAAATTTATCAAATAACATCATGTAAGAAGAAATAATTTCTGAATTGAAATAGGAAAAAGAAGGAAAACAAATGCCATTCTTCTTTATACACACATAGACTTCACATGAAAAGCAGTTAAAATAAATGTTTTGTTTTCTGCTTCTGCAAACAAAAATACTGAAGTGAGCTGTTTTATGACAAAATAATTGTTTATAATTTAGATAAAACACTAATGCCTATTATACAACCGTATGCACTATTCTCCTTGTAGTGAAGTTTACCTACTTGAAGATATAATTCTTTCAGTAAATCACAAAATAAGACATTTGACTAATGACTACAAAAATTACTGAGTGATTTGACAATGCCATTCAAATAGCAGACATTATATATCTGCTATTATATATACATTATATATCACGTACTGGATTTTTAAAATTAAGTATGAGATTTCTTTTCATAGGTACATGAATGTCCACAGTGAATTATTTAAGTAAACTCAAAGGACTTCTTATATTCAAATTTCTTCTCTATAATTTTATGTAATCATATAATGTCAAACAGGTAATTTAATCAGTAACACAAATTTGACTTTGGTGGGAAAAAATCTGTTGGTTATACATGTTTGTGGTTTTATAAATATAAATATATGGATGTTTAAAAAACATTATTTATCTCCGTATCCAAATATCTCTTCAATAAAGCTGTATAGTGTTCCCTTGAATTAGTGGTAGGTATATAATCTCTACCATCTTAAGACTGATTTTCAGTCTTTCGGATTTAGTTGATTTTATAAAGGGGGACCAATAGGAAAGTAAGGAGCCCTGGTGGCCATGATTTCAAGCTGGGCTGAGATCTGCAAGGTCAGCAGTTTGAAACCACCAGCCTCTCTGCTGGAAGAAGATGGGGCTTTCTACTCCCATGAAGAGTTACAGTCTCAGAAACTCACGAGGCCTGTCCTATAGGTCTCTATGAGTTGGCATCTACTCAATGGCAAGCAGTTTGGCGTTAAAGTATGGCTAGAGCAGTTTAAAAACAAAACTATCAAGATCCTGCTTCTAAAAATGATTAGTAGGAAGAACATATTAACATGAAAAATATTTCCTAAATCAAAATACATTCTAATAATTTTAGAGTATGAATAAGTGTTTCTCTATGCGCACAGCTACAAAGCAAGAGAGAGGATAAGAATAAGACTAAATTCATTATGATGCTTTGCTCAGTCAATTATGAACAACCTTTTCATTTTCATTCCATTTTCTCTAACATTAGTTTACCATTAAAAATATTAAAAACTGAAACATAATTGAGTATTCACAATTCCAAGTAAGTCTCATGTAGTTACTTATTTATTTTTCACAAAGAAAGTGCAATTTTACAGTGTGGGAACTACGCTCAAATAAAGGAGATGACTTATTAAAGGTCTCAGGGCCAGTGTGGGGAAAGAGCCTGACAAAATAGTCAAACTGACTTCAAACTCTGGCCTCTTCTTGTATATACTTTACCACTTACTAAGTTTAACCATCGTACTTTAAGTATTATATGCTAAGATCAATCTATTTATATTTTCTCTACTTTAACTTTTAGTTTTATTATTCATAAAGGAGCTCAAAAGATGAAGTAAGAAGTGTAGGTACCCTGAGCTATCGGGTTAATCAGAAGGCACTACTCAGATATCTCACAAGGCTCAAGGCTGGTCTGCACTTTTGCTCAAAATAGTCATCTGGAAATAAAGTCCATTCATATTACATAAGAGAGAATATCTCTCTTTAGTATTTGTTAATATTAGAGAGGACATGATACAAAAAAAGATGTTTGAACTCTTTTACATATGGAAAGACTTATTTTTACAAATAATTACTAAATACATATTTATTCAGAGTTCTCCGAGACAGAAATTTCCTAAATGGAAAGCAAGCTGACAATTCAGTTACAGTGGCCTTCTTCCAATCAGGACAAACAGAATGACCGTGGGGAGAAAAACAAAACAAAAAAAGGTACTGCACAACTGCTTATAGGTGATACGATAAATAATTCATATGGGACGCTAATAACTCTCTAAATGATGTATCACCAGCTTCTCACATTGATTCTTAGTTTTCAAGTAAATTTGTCATACAAACATTTCCAAAAGTCTTGTTTTGTGCCTGGTTCAATTAGTTAAGAAAGACCTTAAAATATGTTTAGTAATTTTAACAGTAACACTTTAACATTTGTATCTCGCTCTTTTTTTAATTTTACAATTTTATTTATTTATTTGTTTGTTTTTCCATTTTAGTAATAGTATGCAATGTATTTTTTTAGATCATTTTATTGGGGGCTCTTACAACTCTTGTTACAATCCATTCATCAAATGTATCTGCCATATTAGTACATATATTCCATCATTCTTTTCTAGACATTTACTTTTCATTGAGCCCTTGGGATCAGCTCTTCCCAGCCCCCTCCCCACCCGCCCTCCCCAACCCTCGAGGCCCCTTGATAGATTATAGATTGTTAATTATTTTCAAATCTCACACTGACTGCTGTCTCCCTTCCCCTTTGGTTTCTGCTGTTCTTCCCCCTGGATGGAGGTGTGTGGTTATGTGCCATTCATTGTGATCAGTAGCCCTCTCTCTGCCCACCTCTCCCCACCTTCCCCCTACCCTTTTGGGATCTCTATTCCCACTCCTGTTCCTGGGTTCCATGTGTTGTGAGTTTTATCTCTTGCCTATACCTATGTACATGCTCCCCTCTAGTCTAGATTAGGAAGCAGCACTGGGGTCATGATAGCGGGGGTGGGGGTGGGGGGGACTTGAGGAGGCCTCAAGGGATCAGAGGTATATCATGTGACCCATTAGTGCTCTACAGCACCCTGCTTGACTCATTCCCTCCCTGTGACCCCTCCCTGGAGGATGTTCCATTGTCCACGGGCTTTGAGTCTCCACTCCAACCCACCTCCATGATCAGCAATGCTTTTTTTGTCTGTTTACTGTTTGTTGTTAATCTTCTGATGCCCATTGCCTGGCCTCAATGACACCTCATGATCACACCAGCTGGTGTGCTTCTTCCATGTGGGCTTGTTGATTCACTGTTGAATGGTTGCTTGTTTAATTTCAAGCCTTTAAGACCCCAGACACTATATCTTTCAATAGCCAGGCACCATCCTCTGTCTTCGCCACATCTGCTTATGCACCATTTTGTCTTCAGCTATCATGTTGGGACTGGGGAGTGTGGGTGAGCATCACAGAATGCCAATTTGTTAGAACAAAGTGTTCTTGTATTGAAGGAAGGTATGAACTGAGTACCATCTGCAGCTTCAGTGTATTGCCTTATAAATATATATACAATACCTCTATTTTTAGGGATTAATGTATTCGCATAAGTACATACCTCTGATAATATTATCCCTATCTATACTTTTGCTTCCTAGAGCTTGTCTCTGTTTCCTTTTGCCTCCTCCTGCCCCACCATCACTTTCTCCCTTCTTCCACTTCTTAGTGCTTCCTCTCTGCTACTTTGGTGTTGCTCTAGCATCTCTTTTAGTGGCTAAGAAGAATTTTTACATTTTAATGGCTATATTTTATGAAAGACTTTTTAGATTAATTAAAGTCACTTTAAAAACTGAAACCATATTTTTTATCCTGTCAAAATCACTTTACAAAATATCGTTTTATTTTATAGGGGTGGAAATGCCTGGCTTAATGAATATGCAAATATGGTTGTTACCTCACTGACTTTAACCGATTTCATGGAAATGGATCATTTTCAACTCAACTGTTAATTAATACAATGCTGAATTTGATTTTGATATCCTAAATGAAATGACCAATTCTTTGTATAATTTTTTCTTGCCAATTTTTCTTATGTTACACTTAAGAATTATGTCCAAATGTACAATTAAATATAAATGGTGAGGCAGACATTTTCTTTTTAAAGTAAGGCTACTAATTTCTTTAAAGTTTTCTTTGAAGCTGAACACTGTTTGCAAGCTATTTTAACGTAGGGAATTGACCATAAAAGATATCTGAGATAAAAAATACCTGGCATTGTATTGGTTCTTATGTTTCCATCTCTTCCAATTGGAACTACTCATTTCTGGTGAGCTCCTGCAGACCACTGTAAAATCTGTGTCATCTTTGCTTTTGTAAAGCTTAAGCCAACTCGACGTTCGGAGTCAGTCAGTAAGCCTCTGGGAGAAGTGCTTGCCTTTAGTCCCTAACTTTGTTTTGTATCAGAAACCTTAGACTATTCTTCAGAGACACACACTCCTAAAAAAGTGAAGGTCAATAATTCTGCAGTATTTATAACATCCACAGAAAGAATGTGAGGACTAGGACACTTAAACAATTACATATTCCTTACAAACCAATCTACCTTCATAGAAACATATCGGAAAATATCTTAAAACAGAAAAAAAAATCTCCTTTTGCTTCATATAATGGAGTTCATAATTTCTAAAACAATAAGACTGCAACAAGAACAGAAGCTATTTAAGAAAGACAATTGCAACGGACTGTAATAAGGTATCAGTTAGACAATAAGAACTTACCGCCCCCATTCTTCTGACACAGGTACGGGAATCTCCAAACATTCCCTAAACCGACAGAAAATCCCACTTGAGCCAGGATGTATTGTAGCTTACTGTTCCAAGCTGGCCTTTCATCTTCAACTTCAGATTCTTCTTCCACATCTGTATCTTTCTCTTCTTGAACATCAACAATTAGTTCACTCTTCTTAAATGCATCATCAGCTGAATCTTCATTTGAAAGAAGGTCTTTGACAGATTCAATAACCTCATCATCCAATTCTCTTTTAACGACCTTGCTGTTTTTAGGCATTGGAAAGTCTGTGTAGTGTTATTTATTTTTTAAATCCACTTAGTGAAATTACGTTATTTCCTTAAAAAAATAACTAACTTGGTGTTAAGTAAAAGCCAAGAAATATATAAAATAAGTCCTTGATTCAAGGTGACAAAGTCTTGAGGATCCTGGATCTGTACATTAAATATTCTGTAGATACCTATAAAGATAAATAAAAATATCACAAACACTTTGATGAAAATGTTAGAAATATTAATTCACCCGTTTTATTCATTTTAATGATGCATCTTTCTAGAAACCGAAAATATAAAACATATGATTATTAAGGCATTCCAAAGCTTACTGTTCCCTAAAGTACAAGAACTCTAGTATGTTCTCTTTACGCTGTCCTCCTTGCAAAATCCACTTTGACTTCAGCTGTACCCCTAAAACCTAATGATACGCCCTGTTCGTTAATAATTAGAATTTAGAGACTAATTTTCTGAATTATTTCTTCTATGTTTCTAAGTGCTCTTTCTTCTATTCTATCTACATCTTTCATTGTATAATCTTGATTGGTTCCTTATAGTAATGCATACACAATTTCATAGTAGCTCAGTAATATTATCATACAGAATTGCTTCTGGTTGCATGTTCACACATTCACTCATTTGATGTGAGCTGTGATATGATCGAGAAGACATCTCAAATGACTATATCACAGGTATAATTTAAATGACCCAACCATTATCAGAGTCAAGGTTAGGAATGGTAGGTAAAAGTGACACATGGTTAAACAGAAATGGAGAACAGACACTCCTGTGCCTAAAAAATAACAGAAACAAAGAAAATAGTAAACAGTCATGGTATTTATGTGAACAATCTCTCAAGCCATTCGAGAAAAACACTTCTATCACTTTGATTTCCCTCAACCCCTTTTTATTTTGGGAAAGTACTCCTTGTACCCATTTCTCTATCCAGAAACAGACCAAGTGCATAGGATATGTTCACAAACCAATGAATAAAAATAATAGAACTTTAAAAAAAAACATAAATAAACATAGGAGAGCTTCTCCTCAAAGCTTTAAAAAGACCGTCAGGGCTATAAAAAGCCTTTTAAAGACTGTCCCAAGTATTCTTCCATTTCTACAAGAAAAATAGAACTCTTTAAGGGATCTGACATTAGATTTGCATACAGGGTAGAAAAGGGAGCCATTGTACTATAATTTACAATTGTAATGGATAAGTCACTATGCGGAGTAAATAAATGTAAAAACAAAAACCTTAATGTGACCATGTAAACTATCCATTACCTTTAAGTTTTCATTGTGTTGGTTGTTTCCAAAATTAAAATCCCAGAAGCAATCACTTTAGGATAGGATTTTCTGAAGATTAAGAGAGATATGATAGACTTCCATGCAAGAGAGCATCTTAGAGAGACGTACCATCACAACTCCTGAGAAAATTACTCAAGAAACTAAGTACAATAGACAAGAGTGGACAGGTGGCAAAAAAAAAAAAATCCAAAAACCTTCAGATCCCAGAGCATGAAACAGATTTGAAGAAACAGACTGAGCATCAATTAGAATGAGAAACAAAATAGTGCCATCAGGGAAACCGAGATCCACAGATTGACCACAATCAGTTGGCCAGCAGGGAGCAGAATGGTTGTTTGGAGACCCTATCAAACAACAACCTGGAGTGAGTGAAGAATGCACGAGAGCAGCAACAACGCTTGTAGCAAGGATTTCATATAAACAACCTAAAAGAAATGACATGGTGGACAAGACACAGCCAAGGAGGATGCATCCCATAAGGGGGAGAAGGAACGGAATGGTATAGCTATGAAATCAAGGAATGACCAGAGAACCTCTAGAATCAGTAACCAGGTTGATCATCTGAGCCTCATAGAGGAAGTAGAGACAGAAGTCAACTGAGGAGTGCAAGGGAGAGAGAGCTAGAAAGCTATCCGCACAAAGAATGCTAGTCTCTAAACTCTAGAGTCTAGAGGCACCCAGTCGTTTTTTATAGGAGTCTCCCAGTGAAAAACCAACCCACAGAGTAACACCTTTCCCCCACTCCCAAATCTGTCCTGTCCAAATAGTCATCCAGATTACCATTCAAATTAGCATGTTTCCTGGGGCACAAGTAGACAGAGCTAAAGCATGCAAATCTGGTAACAGCTACTACCATTCGCTGAAGAACAGGTGGCCCATCCTGAGGACCATAAAAATGACCATGTCCACCACTCTCACCAGGAAGCACAGGATACACACAATATGTGCAAGCCTGACCATGTTCACTACCCTCTCCATGAGTTACAAGGGCCTAGTTGATGTGTGCAAGCCTGGCCACATTCATCATTCCTTCCTTCCTGTTGCACAGAAGTCCCATGCTGAAATGTATGCACTTAGCCAAGCTCGTCAACCCCTCCATGAGGGTCAGGCATTCACATGTGCATGGTAACACCTAGATTTACCCACCACCTACTGGCCTAGGGTGCAGTGACTCAAAGTTACATGCACCAGGTCAGCCAATCCATCCAATATTAGCGATTTGCACACTTTCACTCTGACCCCCCAACAAAAACCAGTGAGCACACACAAAGAAACAGGTTGGTGACCGGCAAGAGTGCTCACTGCACCCATTTCCTGCCAGACAGAGCTTCCACCTCATGCCCAGTGCTCTCTTCCCTGTGCCAAATGGCAAACGAGATACTAGTGCCCGCAACCAAAGGCAACCCAGAAGCAACATCACACATCCCAAACCCAATCAGCTCCTGCAGGTCACGTGCACATGCAGAGAACCTCCCTGATACGCCACCATCTAATGAGATACAAGTATTTGTCTGTATAATGGACTTACCCCATCCATTCTTCCAGGATTCTCTAACACCGTGTCTAACATGGAGATGACCTGGCCTGGGCTCCAGAGAAGGAATTAACTGCTCATAACACCCTGAAAGGACATGAGGATTCCACAGGGCTGTGGAAGGACCTTGACCAGCCACACTAGTCAACCAATATCCTGGATAGAGCCTGTTTTCCCATCTCCACTCAGTCTTAGAACATATTTTCTAATGTTTATTTCAGAGAATAAATTTTAATTGAAGACGTGAAGTGTGCCAGCTCACTCCACCAATGCTCTGTTTGCCACCATTTTCTTTACCAAATAGTACTCAAAGATAGAACTCTCCCAATTCTAAGGCAAGGAAATAATTCAGAATTTTTTGTTAAGAACTTGATACAAACATGGAGACTAGGAGTGTTAGGTAAGAAATAAACATAGGCAAAAGGCAGTTGCAAGCTGTATATCAGAAAACAAGTACCACACAGTTTCGAAGCAATGACTTCTCTAAAAACCAAGAAAGTTCACAAAAGAAATTCAAGAAATAAATAAATAAAGAGTCCTTTTAACAAAAAGATTCACAAAAAGAAAAGAAGTTATGTAGAAACTCTAGGATAGAAAAGAGATATTATGAGTATTAGGACTTTTTTTTTGCCATAACTTAGGCCATCCAATGATCCATTCACCTAAAATTCTGATGTTTGTTCCCCTCGAGTGGGGTTATCTGTATAATAATAAATATTTATTATTGAATATAATGAATAAACACCAGTTGCAATTCCAATCATAAAGTCTCAGGTAAGTGTATTCATCACTGCTATCAGTTCTACCGTCCTCTGCTCCCCACCCCACCCCCTCTTCCTGTACTTTCATGGAACCATTACTCCCATTACTGTTTCTGATGGGTTTATCTATCTTGGATTCCATGCATTGAAAGATCTTACTAGTACCCGTACATACACAGGTCGAGCAAGATTAGGGAGGTAAAACTAAGGCCATAATAGTGGGAGGAGGAAATTTTAAAGAACTAGAGGAAAGTTATGTTTGACCATCCCTTACATGTGTCCCTTCTGTGAGGGACTGTTCAGTTATCCTACAAGTGGGCTTTGGGTCTCCACTTTGCCTATGCCCCTTCATGTCAATTTGACTGCTTGTTTTTCAGCCTCTGATACCTCAGTGATCACACAGAGCCAGTGCTTCTTTTGTGCTAGGAATAACCATCAGTTGGAATTCCAATCATAAAGTCTCAGGCAAGTGTATTCATTCATAATAGAACTGATGTAAGCTCCTCTCTTTTTCTAAGGAAATAAAAGGATCTATACAGTCTTAGAATTTAACCAACTAATAGAGAAAACAAAGACCTCAGTAACAAAAGATGTCCCATTCAAGTACACATGGGAACATAATTTAACAAGAAAAAAATTGAATATTTAGAAATAACACGGAAAGGACAAAACATCTTACAATTTAAAAATAACAAAAAAAGCAGGCAGGAGGGCACAGAAAGCAAAAATTAAATAAATAAAAGTCTTTATTTTGCTGTTGCTCTCAGGTGTCGCCATGTCAGTTCGAATTACAGCAACTCCTTACACAGCTGAACAAGACATTCTCCCAGGCTAGCCTTCCTCACACCCTCCGCTTCCACCTTCTTGTGATATTCCTAGAGGATTTTACTCCTAGAATCATTCAATATTTCAACTCGACTTGTTTTTTCCTTCATTTTTCATTTTGAGAAATACTCAGTGTGCTCTACCTGCTTGACTCAAGGTTACTGACTATTTTATTAAATTACTTTATTCTGTCTTCTGCAACTACCATTTGAGATCTTCTGTTCAGCTCAAAAGTTTTAATATGAACAACTGATGGTCTAGTTTGTAATTAACCACCAGCTTTGTTGTGACTGAAGATACTGGGCTGCTCTATCATCTTTTTCCACATATGATTTCTTTGTATTCTATCATGAGAGTGTTTTGAAAACATGCATTCATATTGGCAATGAAGAAGTCATCTGTCTTGCATAATTCCATCATGGTATTACCAAGGTCAGTTTTTCCAACTACCCTTTCTCTTTGTTCCTGCTTTCACACTCCAATTACCAATAATTATCAGTGTACCTTGATTAGATTTTAATCAAATTCTTCATCTTTGGCATTAGTAATTGGTGTGTAAATTTTAAGGATTGTAACAGTGACTGGCCTTTCTTGTAGGTGTAGGGAAATTATCTGATCACTGACAGTGTTGTACGTCAATGTTATTTTTCATGATGAATGTCGCTCCTCAGTTTGTCAGTTCCAATATAGCAGACCATATGTCTGGCTAGTTTCTGTCCATTGAAGCTCATCAATATTTTGATCCTTATGTATAGTTTCATTT